TTGAAACCCTTGAGATGATTTTTTATAAGACCCAGAGATGGATTTGTAATCATTTAGACAGATAGTCTCAACCTTTATATAATTCATAATATTCTTATACAAATATAAAACAGATTTCAGCTGAAGGTTTTTACATTTCACTGTTTAAAAATCCCTCATCTGCTCATCATTTTACAGCAGTGAAAGAATTTAGATCACTGGGAACAGCCTAGCATTTACAAGTTACACAGTAATCACATCACCCTGTATTGTACATGCGGTCTGCAACCCAACCCCAGAATCAGGAACACTACCAGCATGCATCTTGTTTACCATAAGAAAAATCCTCAAAGCCTCAGCTTCTTAATAATAAAAAAGACCTTCACCTCACTGTTTTGTTGTTTATCAAAGAAATGACCCCTACACCAGATGGTATGCTTGGCATAAACACTATTGCACAGCACCCTCTAATGTGGCTCCACTGTAATAACCAACCTGCGACCAGCCTCGGTCTCCCTTGCAGCACTGAACTATTCCCATCTGTCCCTGTGCCGGCTGCAGGGCAGACCTGATCTAGTTTAATGAGTAAAAAGCCAGAGTTCACAGAACAACAAAAATAATGACACACCACATGCATGACAAGAGCTGTAATTTCACCAGTAGCTGTTGTTTGCGCCCACAAAACATAGCATTTAGGTTCAGCATTATAAAATGTATGGTAATATAATATTTTTCTCTTGATTCCTTCCCTTCAGTTGTATTAATATCCACAACGGATTTAGTCAACAAATATGTGACCTCTAATTTTAAGACTGAAGTGGAGAAATGGATAATTTTATTTTGGAGCTAGGTTTAGGAGGAAACGCAGAGTCCTGCCCTCCAGGTCTGAGCATGCAATAAGCAATGGTGACGGATAGGTATTATGAGGAGTTTCTCCTGCCTCCGTTGGGGATTTGTGATAATCTCCTTTAGAATGAGTCATGGGTAGATTACCATATTGCCTGCTGTAGGCCAGGATATCCTATATAGGCTATGCTAATAGGTGAAACTCAGGAGGCTCGCCGGTGGACTTGGAATGAGAAGAGTGCTTACCTGTACCTGGGAAACACATTCCTGAGAGAGTGGAAACGGTATTAATGTATTAGCCACTCCTCTTGTACACACAGAAAATCAAATCTGCATGCTTATGTTATGGCTTCAGCTATCAAACACCTCTTTACACATTTATGACATTCAGTATTTACATGTGCTAAAAGTGTGGCTGCTGTGTTTGCTTTCATACACACGTACTCAGGAGTAAAGATCAACAAACACAAATCAAATAGTAATCCTAATACTGTGTCTACTCTGTGCACTATAATGCAAAGGCCCTGTAGTCTTTATGAGGACCCTTGATCAGTGCAGTATTTCTTTATATACAGTATTTGTTAGGTTCCCATGGCTTCTGAATCATCAGTGTTTCAAAATTGCAGCCTCAAAAAAATCGATGTGCCATTTCATTTTCTCGGGTACAGTTTGCCTGTGTAGCCGAGAAAATGATTCATAACCATGAGAGCAAAACATTCCTAAAATGTGATTATGTTTTTAAACATCAGTGATAATAACAGGAGTTATACTCTTTGTGATAGCATCATAAGTACGTAAGAAAACTTTTTTTACTGCAATAAGATGGAGTTATACAATGCAAAGAGGGAATCATTAGGCCACAGGGCTAATACATATCAGACTTCTGACACTTGTATATTTGAAAAAAGAAAAATCTGAATCTGAATTTCTATTGAGCTTATGTTCTTATTTTACATTCACTATGAATATTTGATTACAAGGTGATTTAATATTGATGCTTTTCTGTGAAGTTGCTCCCACTTCTTCTTCCTGTCAAATTGAATGTTAACATATCAGGAGCTATGTGGCTCTATCTGCTGCAGCAATACTACATCCTCAGCAAGCCAATGCATTTGTTAACTTGTTAGAGAGGCGTCAGGCACATTAGAATGCACGCGTGAGCTCGTTGCACTGATTAAACTAAGGGCCAGGAACAAGGCCTCGATAGGCCAATTAGATTCAGCAAACTGTCACAAACTAGTATAGAGATGGACCATGACCCTGTGCCATTGTTTGGTGCATATATTGCTCTGCTAACTTTGCAGACTCCCAGGCGTATGAATAATCACCCTCCATAAAACCTTTAGAGATTTATGAATCTCTGTGAAGTACAGCAGTATTTCCGTGTCATGATTTACATCCACAGGTCTATTACAGAATTACTGCTGCAGAAAATGGCTTCACATAAACACAAACTGTGGCAGAACCTGTTTTGCAGGATGTATAAATACATTTAAATGAACCCTGAGGTGAAGATTATATGAATGTATGTAAAAGGTGACTTAACAGACATGTATTTAAACCAAAATCTTTGAGATTATTACTTTAAAATATTGGATTGTTACTTCTAAAAGACCTAATAACTTAATGTCTTTTATTAGGTTAAGATGTGTTAGTTCATTTGATCTCATTTCACTTTAAGATACCTGTTCTAGACTGTGATGTGTCTCTTGCCTATACAAACCTCTGGTATGACAGATAACCTAACTGTGGTAACAGTGAACAATAATGAAACTGCAGAATTTTCTGTGTGCAGCATGATCTTGAGACGGTCTTTTTTATATAAATATTAAATGCAAATGAGAAGTAAATCCCATTTGAGGATACATTGGATTGTGGGTTCTCTCAAACCAAATATCCAGTCCCTCAGGGTGTGTCCATTCTTAATGCTTTAACTGAATCTACTAACTCAACTGATCAGGATGAAGAATGAAAAAAAAGGCTTGGGACATAATCCTGTAACAGACCGAAATGCTTAGTAGAAACGCTCCCATTATTTGTTGGGTGAACTTTAATCCAATTCATCAGGAGAGTATTCCAAAAAGAGATCTGGCGAAGTTTGTCCTTGTGTTTGAGTAGATGAGGGCACAGGATGCATTTTCATCTCTGTTGCTAATTATTTTTCTTGGAATACACGCTCATTTTAAGACTTTGTTAAATAGACCATGCAACATAAGTTTTATGAGAAAATTGCCAAAAACAGCACGAGGTATTGAGCCCCATCTGCCCTGAAGAGGGTTTGAGATAGTTCCTGTGAGTGTGCATGCAGAGCGAAGCGGGTGGCTCTTGATAGACAGTGAACACTAGAGAGACCCTTGTCTTGTCTGTGCAGATCAAAAAAGCAATCCACACACGTCACACATCACACATTTAGCAGTTGAAAAAGACCCAACTGACAATTAACACAGGCTCATCATTAAGCCTTTTTGCAGGTCTTGCTTCCATTTTTTCTTTTTCCATCAGCATAGTGCGGTAAAGGTTTGTTTTGATCCTTTAGGACACCAGGCTTGTTGTGGTGGGAACAAGGTTCCCTCCTGACCTATTTTCTGAGCAGCTTTTCAAGATGCTTCACTCTGGCATTCAGCTCCTGCTCCTTTCTGAACTCCAGCTGCCAAAGAACTCTGTGAACTTGATTGGCATTTTCACGGTTTGATTGACTGCAGGACACTTTTTGTAAATGTCATTCTGGATGTGTTAGATGTGTCAATCTCTGATAAAACAAGAAACAAATGAAGACAATGTGCTTGAGATTTCCATTGCCTTTTTGGTTACAATCACTGCCATCTTTGAAACACAATAAAATATATAATATATATATGTATTTTATTTTTTGCCCTTTATGTTGACAGGTGAGAAACTGGGCTCAAGAAGAGTGTCAGTTTCTCAGACTTTGCGGCATACTTCCCACTGCTTTTTAGAGATACTGTAGCTATCCATATCCCCATGTTTGGTGACCTGTCATTGCTCTTCTCCAGTGTGAAAGCCCACTGCACAGAGAAGGCCTCATTCTGACAGACCTCTCTCTGCAGACATTGTATTTTTATGAGCTTACTGCTGAGTTCTACTGCTGTGTGCTGCCTTATATTCAACTTTCATTTTCAATATGCAATTCAACTGTATCTTTATAACCCCAAACATCCTTCACATTGTCATAAAGGCACACAATGATGTAGGCTACTTTAATATTTGTATACTTGAGAGGTGCTATCTACACTGCCCATGTTGCTAAAGCACCAACACTGCATTACGTAATAACTTCCATTGTGTAATAAGTCAATTTGTAACAATCTCCTGAATTTTGCAATAAACAGCCTGAACCCAACATGTAATACATTTGCAACAAATTATTAAATATTGTGGTTGCCACTGCAAAACGTTGGAGTTGCACTTTTTTATGAACTGCATTTTGAATAAGCTGAAGCTTTTTGATGGTCTTTTGGTGACTGCAGTCAACCCTATTATTAGCATAGAAATATTAGCATGAATGAGTTTTTTCAGGTCAGCCTTTGACATAAAGTCCCTGAGTTTGGCTGTATTTGTAAGACGGTAACAAGCTGATTTTATTTCTGCTTTTATATGGTTATTTACTACTAAGATCAGCCTCAAATAACGCCAAACAGGACACCACCACCGAATTTAAGTCATATAATAAGGTAATAATTTACACAACACAAGGAAATGTATTACATATTGCCTGCATGTAGGTGAGTTATTAAATAATGCAGCCTTATTACATAATGTGTTGTTACACACCTAGATTTTCAAGATAGGGTGAAGTGGCAGAAATAGTCAAAGCCTCCAATTATACTTCACACATTAAAATAGGTTAGAACTTTATTGTTTTAATCTGGTACATTTTTTGGTAGTCCATTTCACCCCGTATGGGGTCCTGATGTGTCGTTAATAAATTATCATGAACAGAGTAAATCTGCATGATGTAAAGGGGTTGGAAATACCACATTCTGTAGTTACAAATGTCCATATAAAAACACTATGGTCATACTGTCATATTTCACTGTTGAAATACAGCAATGACAGTCTTGTGGGTACTATATTATGTCTTTAATGTCATATGTTAGATTCTCCATCTCTGTTAGATACAAAATAGACAAAAATAATTTTATATATTTTTCAGAAATTTTCAAAAACATTGTCAAGTGATCACAACATAAAATAATCAATGACAATCTTAATTATTTGCAAGTAAAATGCTATTAGCAAAATAAATTTCTTTTACTTCATCATAGACTATATAATCACAATTTCTTCATATGTTCACTGTGATTTCTCTGTAAATATTTTTAACATCATAGTGAAATGAATGACAATCTCTGTGTGATCTGTTTTCGAGATTAAAAAACAAACAAACTGAAGCTGAGAAAAGAAAGCAAAACATGGAATCACTCAATAAAAGAGGCCCGTCTTCTGTGTTGAATAAAGAGTTAAAATTACAGACAAGCACGGTGCACATAAAATTTCATATTTCTTTGAGGCACTCATTGCCTTGCAGCTCTATGTTCCCAACTGTAATAGCCCTGTCGGTGATAAATTCTCGGTACAAGTAAGCTTTAACATATCATGGTTAAATAAATCACCTGTCATGGACAGTGATCAGAGCTTATCCAGTTGAGGCACAATCATTTTTTTATGATCATTTTCTAAACAAAAGCAACATGATAAAGATTGGAACATAACAAAAAGGAAATTAATTTTCTGCATGGCCAGTCAGAGTTTTGTCATTGGTATGTGCAGGCTGTTCCAGGGTCCCATCCATAACTCCTCCTCGTCTGATAATGTGTGGTCACTGTGGGACTCCAGTGTCTCCCTACTGTCCTTGTGGTTGTCAACAGAAGTCTCTTGCTCCTCGTTGACACATGAGCCACTGCTGTTTCTGTCAATCAAAGTCTTGGCAATATTGGTTTTGGACCCAAAACTTCTAAGATCTGTGATGGTGGATCCCAGGGAGCCACAAGAGGACCGAGTGTTGAGGTTGACGTCCACATTAGAGGGAACACATGTACCTGTTCCATTTTCTGTGTTGTTTCCTGTGCCCTCAATGCTAATAATTGGAGGGGGTTCTTCATGAGTCACACCCAACTTGTCAAGTTTTTTAAAATGCTTACCGAGCCGGCACGGAGAGCCTATTTTCAAGTTGTTTGGGTGGGGTGGCCGCCTAGTTCGGACGATAGTGCCATTCTGTGCGAGGTAGATGTTCCCGTTGATGTTGCTGTGGCTGTTGGGTAACCTGTTCCGCTGGGTCTCTGTGGTGCTCTCCTCTCCTGTGGAGCTGGTCTCATTCTCCCGATCTACCACCAACTTAATCCGCTTCTTTTTCCCAGGCTGAGGAGGAGAGAAGGGGTCAAGGTCAATATATATATATTTTTTTCAGAAGGTACACTAGAGTTTCACTGAAAAAAACCCCCCAAAACAAACACAGCAGATAGGGTTGTACACCGAGTATCCAGATCATGGTATTAACAAGAAATTCTCGCCATAATTTACTCCCTTGTCTCAGGAAAAATACAAAAAGATGTTTTTGAATTCATGGTCAAGTAAATTTGATGAGTTGTGACTCAAACAAAGATGCCTTCCTCACAGATCCAACCATAAAATGCTGTTATTATTGTAATATACTACTAAAGAATTTTCATACTATTAACAAATGTCTGATAATATTTTTGGAAAATAATTTTTCTATTTTAAGATCAAGTATCAGTTCTGTGTTAGAACTGAATTCATGGCGAGAAATCTTGGTTTTCTACTATATGGTAAAGAGAAATACTTTATAATACTAAAAAGTAATAATTTCAACAGGAAACATTCAGTCAAGGCAGAAAATATGGCAAAATGCAAAATTCTCACAGCAGAAACAAGAGCATAGTGTTATATTTACAGTAAGGGCCTAAAAACACACTCAGAAAACAACAAAGAGAAGAACAAGTCAAGCACAAGTGAGAAAGAGAGCAAAACTGATATTTTGCAGCAGGAAACCACCAAAGTTCTCCTTGCTAAGGGTAGATGAGGAAAAAGTGGACGTTTGAAACACACTGTAGTGGAAAGCAATATTTCTTCACTCCCATGCAAGGGTAATTGATTTTATTCACTCTTACTTCACAGTGGACAATATATCTGTCTAGAAGGCAGTTGAGCTTCCTCCAGACCCTGAATCAGCATCTTCTGTGTCTCCTGACTCCTTCGACGCATCTGATCTTGAGCCACTGGCTGAAGTTTTGTCAGAGGAGATAGCATCCTCGTCCACCTCAGTGATAGGGGACAGTCCGCCGTATGTTTCTTCAGAGCTGTACGGGGGACTAGCGTAGGGGGCAGAAGGCCCAGGGTCTTCAGATGCCACACTGGACCTCTTTGATGATGCTTCATCACTGAGCTCACTGGCTGACTGGCTGCTCTCGTCAGCTGATTCTTCCTCATCCTCTTCTTCGCTCTCCTCTGTGATTGTGTCCTCAGATCCACGGCTCAGGATGGACTTTTGGGAACTCCGACTGCCACTGGTGGCCCGGGAACTCGCTGAACTCTCCACGCTGTGCAGGGAACTCTGGTCTGTCATCTGACTGCCAGATGAAGGCCCTCCACCAGACTCTGACCCAGACGCTGTCCTCTGGCTGGACCCACGAGAGGAAAAGCCTTCACCTCCTGACCCTGACTCTGCCTCGCTTGCCGTCCCTGTCCCTGACTCGGCCTCACTGAGTTCTTCATTGGACTTCTCTGAGGTTACTGCGCTTCCTGATGATTTGGTTCTCTGTGATGACCTAACACTTGAGCCAGATAAAGATGCAGCGCTTCCACTGCCAGTACCACTCCCACTCCCACTCCCACTGCGACTCCCACTGTCACTCCCACTGCCACTGCCACTGCCACTGCCACTGCCACTGCCACTGCCACTGCCACTGCCACTCCCACTCCCACTGCCACTACCACTACCACTACCACTACCACTCACGCCTGAAGCGCTGCTCTCCCTGCTGGCCTCAGTAGCTGATGATTTCATGGAAGAGCGGGCAGAAGAGGCACTTTCTCGAGTGCTCCCTGAGGCCTCTTCCTCCTCAGACTCTTCATCAGAGTCTCTCTCTGTTCCTGAACCCTTTTCTGTACTTGTTTCCTTCTCTGTTCCCGTCCCTGTTCCTGATTCTGTTTCTTTCTCGGAATCTGACTCTTTTTCGGACTCTGACTCTTTCTCTGTTTCTGACTCTTTCTCTGTAACCGATGACTTCTCTGACTCTGATTCTCTTTCAGTCCCCGACTCTTTCTCACTGACAGATTCCTTCTCAGTTTCCTCCCCTTCAGATTTGGACTTGCCTTCCTCATCAGAATCGCCCAGCTCTTCATCAGGCTCCTCCTCTGAGTCCACAGTGCTCTCATTGGCATCATCCCGGTCTAAATCTACTTTCAGATAATCTCTGTCAACACTGCTTCTCTCAGATTCCTCATCAGAGCCTTTCTCCTTACTGCTTCCACTTGCACCTGCTTCTGGCTCACTTTCTGTCACACTAATAGACACTTTAGACTTCTTATCATCCTCACTGGCTGCTTGTGAGGCCTCCTCGTCTTTCTCGCTGCCTGTGGCTGAGCCACGACTCACACTACTCTGTGACTTCCTCCGGATCTGTAACTTGTTGCCTAAGTTAATTTTCTTCAAAACTTTGCCAAGCCGGCTGCGGGTATCAGACTTGCTGTCGATTGGTCCCGTAAGGGCTGGTCCGTCGGTCAGACTCTCCTGGCTGTCAATTCGGCGGGCTGACATCAGTTTGGCGTAATCTTTGTCTTTCTTCCCGGCACCAAACATCTTGAACATCTTGGCTTTTTTCCATGGAGACTGGCCAGAAGGACCAGCATCAGATGGCTGTTCTCCTCCCTTGCTGGCTGCCAGGAGTTTGCTGAGTTTCATGACAGACTTCAGTTTCTTGGCAGCCTTAGAAGGCTCGCCCTCCGCTGCTGGCTCAGCTTGTTCGATTTCATCCTCTGGCGGCACATCCCTAAATGCAACCCGCTTGGGTGGACCTCCACCCCGCATGCCGCCACGGCCCCTGCCTCTGCCTCGGCCCTAAGACAGTCATATTTAATTTAGCAACCTTTTGTGATGAAAAAGCCACAATGTTGGAATGTCACCAAGGGCTGACACTGCTCTTTCAATAATACAATGGACAAACAACCAATTAAGGCAATAATTATTGACATTATCTTTGAAAATTTACATCTAAGGAAGGGTAATACCTCAGGGCCATGAGGACTGTAGTAATACCCATCATCCTCCATGATCACCTCTCCATATTCATCATACATGGGAGTAATTAGCCTCCTCCGACTGCCGTACTGAGGAAGGTCATACCTGAGAAATAGAGTCATACAAAATATGAAAAATAATACAGTGTTTGGAATTACTGTGGACTCCTTTGACAATTTATGATAGATTGAATAATTAGTTAAATCAAAATAAACCGTAAAGGCATCAGCAAAGATTATTAGTTTTTAAAAATGTATTCATCTACATTCTGTACGATAAAACGACACAAGCAAATGCTTTCAAACAACATACCTTCTCCATCGTATTAGGTTATCCTTTAACATAGCGAGTACTGTCAAAAATGGCTAGGCATAAATATCACTGCCAGAATCATAAAATCCCAACTTTTTTTTATTTTTAACTCCTTCTCCTAAATCTTCCACTATTCTAACAGTCTTGCCCCATTCATTGCTGCTTTTGCTTTTTTTTTGTAGTAGCAATATCTTTGATCAGATATGCAGTAATTGCTGTAGTGATTTGCTGCTCTTCCTAGAAATCACTTGGCAAGTTTGGAGAGATATAATAGAGAGAAAAAACATTCAGACAGCTTTTACAAAAATAAATATAGCAGAGTACATATTTATGCTGAGATGAGAACCAGTGGAGTAAAAAGTATTGAATAAAAGCCCATTAAAACACTTTAAAACTGATAAAATCAGTTAAAAACTCAATTGTGCTGTTTTGTTTTAAATTCAGGAGCAGGTTTGGCTACATTGCTTTTATCAGGGGAGTGTTAAATGAGACTATCCAACCACACTCCCTACCAAAGAAAGCAGAATACACTGTTTTATTTCTTCTTCAAATGGAAGATAAAGATATTTAATTATGTTTCTATTGCTTGGTTGTTTCAGAGTTGATGGCCAAATATACAGATCATTGATATTGAACATGTGAATTATTCTTCTTGCTCAAAAATATTTAATCAGAGAGGAGCCTAAACAAAAGAGGCTGATGGCAATTTGTGTCACTACCTTCTGAACATATGCTCTGAGGACCATACGGTCGGCTGATTGCTGGATTAAAAGCTTGACCGCCGTTAAAGTGTGCCCCTCAGTGCAAATAGAAACAGATCAAAGGCATCCATTCACAGCGATGATACACTCATTTGCAATAGTAACTTTTACAATGAACTTTGTGACATGCCAGTAAAATGTAATTACAGCCTGTTGCAAATCAAGGCCAGTGTGAGTCAGACTCAGTGAGCAACAGCTGAGGTAATTAGAGTCAGTAAAGATGACAGGTAGGTCAGTGAGCAACACAGAGGTAATTACAAAACTTAATTTCAATATGGACAGTTTTTAACATTTGTCACATTTCCTTCCAGCGATTTGAGCCTGTAAGGTGCAAAAAGCTTCTCTCTCTTTTGATAAAATTGCAGCGTAATTCCCTAGATAGGTGCAAGTCACCTGCCATAGAGAGGGAGCGCTTAATGAATAACAATTTCTTAGCAGCTGTTACAGCTTTGAGTTCCATGTTTTTCCTCTTTAGACCATATGGGCAATGTAACTAGCAAACCAGAACACTGTCTAGCCAATAAACCATGGGAAAACACTCTCAGGTTCCCAACTCAAGGCGGCATAATTGATCTCATTTGATGGGAGTAGAGAGGGTAAACGCTTGGATGGTATGTACTGCTGAAAGGGCAGCATAAGTTATGCTCATCATTTTATTCTGAACTTCTTTAAAAAGCTCTCAACCCCCAAGGACCTAAGTACTGGGAGCTGGAAGGCAAGGTTGTGATAAATAAGCCCTAACGATGTAATTTTTTAACTTTAAATGAACCGATGGAGATCAGCTCCATGGATTTAAGTAAGACTGATGAGAGATGAGACAGTCCGTGGGCTGCATGCTCACCCTTGGTCGTAATTATAGTAGTCCTGCGTGTAGTAGTCCTGGCCTGGATCGATACCTGACTCCATGGAGAGTTCCTGCATTTCATAGAGGGAGAGAGAGAAATTACTCAGCATTCCTTGGAGAAAAACAGAAAAAGAAGAAGAGCAGCAGCAGCAGCATACAGGGTGAGTATACAGCAGTATGACTACAATCCCTGTGAGTTAAGGAAAGCAGGAGTGTTTCTACCTCAGGTCTCAGAAGAGATGGCCTCAGCAGTTGCTGTTGCTGCCAAAGATTAGTACAGAAGAAGGATAAGGTAATGGAAGGAAGGGACGGTCAGGAGACACACAAACATAAGGAAGAGTTCACTCTACACACCTCTCTTATGTTTATTGCTAAGTCTGTTATAAACCATGGAAGAGGGTTGATAAAATATCCAATAATTAATATGGAAAAAAAGCAAGGAAAAAGAGGGAAGAGGTTAACCGAACAATTGCAATTACGTGCAACAAAAAAATGTAATATCCTGCGTATGTCGACAGTTCACAGATTTTTTGAAGGTGACAAAGACTTTAATGTCAAACATTGTCAAGCAATTTGTTTGGTCCCTGATTGTTATTTTTTTCATCTGAGGAGAACAACTCACCCAAATGCTTATCTGCTGTTTGACAGGAACATTGGAGAATACAACAGACTTTCGAATCGAACCTGAACTGTAATGTCAGTGTCAGAAGTCCTATCACTGGGATCTCATCTTAATCTCATTCAGTGTTTCCATCAAGTGAATTGTAGATAAGAATAATAGGATATAAGCTGCCTCAAGCTCAAGAGTGACAAAATGTCTCAGCACAACAAAAAGATAAAAACAAATCACAACAGAAATGCTTACCTGTCTGCCTCGCCTGCTGTGTGGTGCAGAAAGGAGGGAATAAGACAAATAATGAATATGGATTGACAGCAATATTTCAAGTGCTTTCAGATAAATTAAATGTTAAGTCTACAGGACTAGCTTGTCTACATTCTGCTGACCAGTGAGGAAATTGCAGCTTTACTTACTGTGCATTTTCATGTCTTAAATTACAGTGTAGCAGACCTCAGTTCAGTTTTAAAAAGGGTGCCTAAGGCCACAATGTTATCATGCTGGTGTGGGCTGTTTTCCCCCCCGTTATCTCATCCAAACAGAGAGAAAAAGAAATACAATAAATGCAAATATCAAAGAGGCTGGGAAGATTGGAATTTGAAAAAGTCAGTGTTTATACAGACATATCTAGAGCATCTCCTAGCAGATATGAAAAGGACATTGTGAATCAGGGAGGAATTACTGACTCAAAGAAAGTTAATAAAATTGTCTTCGGTTGTCACGTCATAATGTGCCATTTTCTTTCAAAAGACAGCAATGTTTTTTAGCTAAATTGAAGCAAGTAAATCACAGGAATTTCACTCTATCAGACACATAAAAAACAACTCAGAGCTGCTCCTGAAGACAACAGTGCAGTGCATTCGGTACAAGTCAATGAGAAACGGCGAGTAATGTAGCAGCCCAACTGAAACCTCCAGGTTCACAAGCGTACAACTGTAACCTGTCTGGGCCCATAAATAATGACGACTTTCACACTCAGATTTATGGCCAAGCAATGATGTGAGCTTCCTCGGGAGGGCTGTAATCTGTTATTATGGGCAGGGACCAGGGGACAGGGCAGAGCCATATGGCCACACCTCCCAGGCAGAGGGGATGATGGGAGTGGGATCTGATGGATGACCTCTTGGCTTGGCTGCTGGCTACTGCTGCTTCATACAACATCAAGAAAAATGGCCCAGTGGACAGCAGCCATAGGAAGTTTGCACAAGAGGGGACTTGGGGAAAGATGGGTGATAAGGTAATGTTGCAGAAAAAGAGCTGAGAGGTGAGCTCGACAAGACTTGAATACTGATGAACCCAGTGTATTATATCTATATTTTTTAAGGTAATCTTGGTTTCACACATAACTTACATTTTTTATTGCATATTTCTATATAGAAGTAATAAAAATAGGTCTTTTTATTCTGCTGCCACAAATATATTAACCAACAAAATAAAGCTCATTGTAGGAGAAATCAGAAGTACTTTGACATTCTGTGAAATATCCTTATCCTTGTCGGGAGTTAGATGAGAAGATTGATACCACCCAGACTGAAAGTGGTATTGATCTTCTCACCTAACTCTCCATACAAAAACGAATAAGCGTATTTTGCGTACTGTTGAACTATTCCTGGAACACATAATGTAGTATGTGGTGTAAGAGCAGGTGGATGATTTCATACAACAAAGGATCTCTCTGATCAGCATTTTGTGCATACATAATGTAAATAGTTTTTTGTACACCCTTTGCTCTGAAAATGGTCTATGGTTTTAAAATTTATACCTAAAACATACTTTGTCTCTCCCGTCTGGCAGTGAGTTTAATTACACAAATGTGTGCTAATATCTCCAATGAGGAACAGCTACACCATTGCTTATCCGTGTTTGTCCTTTCCGTCAACCACTGTAAACCTTTCTCTTTTTTATTTGGAGCATCAGAAACTTTTTTTGGATGCTTTCTACCATACTCATAGTTGCTGTAGCCCACTCCGTAACAGCGTTTGCTCTCTTCTTCAGCTCTGGCAAAACTATCATTGCTGGCTGAAGTAAACTGCATCACTGTGCCTGTGCAGGAATGTCCCCACAGACACCAGATTAAAAAACTCGAAATACTATGAAATACAGAGAGATTTACCTGGCAGTAATAGGCTTAATCAGCTTTGTGTGAACTCAAGGGCTTGAATGTAACCAATGTTCACTCATATGAAGTTAAATCCCGCACTCCAGCTTTAAGTTTGCCTAAATTTTAGTCGCAACATTTCATTAGAAAGGTGCTCTGAAATAAAGTTTAGAACTACTTTAATTGTTCAAACACTTTAATTCTGTTCTCATTGTTCACATTTTCATATTACTGCAATCAATCATCAGTCGGGACACAGAAGAGTTTGATAAAACCAGTTGTAAAAATGGAATATAAAGAATACCATCCATTAAGGCTTTTTGCTCTTTGGGTTGAAAAAAACAGCATGTGAGCTGATAGCCTTTTTACAAAAGAGATTACCCCATGTAGTGAACATGGAATACAGAATTAGCAGGCCTTCGATCTGCCCATCAGGGGAACGTGTGATGAATCAAACATAACATTGCTCTGGAAGGGAGGCATGCTAAGACCATTTGCCCTAGGGCATGCAGGGTGAAACAAACACATGAAGGGTATGTGGGAGAAGGACATAAAGGAGTGGAAGTGAAAAACCTGAGCACAGAAATAAAAAGGAAGCGAGAGGAGACAAAAGCCGCATTGCAATGAGTGTAAAGAAGGTAATAGAATCTCCCGAGAACCACGAGGAAAGATTAACAAGAAGGGACCAAGGATTGGAAAGTATTAGAGCTAACTACAATGGGAGAGGAAGTGGGAGAGAGGATCACGGACAAATGGGAGAAGCAGAAGGTCAGAAGGATGGAAAAGGAAAGGAGAAGGTAACAGTAGTTGACAGTCTCACAGGCAGCGGCCCTGGTTAACGATTGATTGGTTCTCTAATTAGCCTTTTCCAGTGTGCAGCCAAACATCACAGTGACTACTTTATCATGCTGGTAGGATCTCTGCAGACATGTGAACAGACAAATCCCCCAGAGGTTAGCTCTCTTCATTCAACATCAGCCTGCCAGTGAACGCAGTCGATGTTATAACCAATTTTTCAACCAACATGGGGAAATGTTTTCACTTAGAAGTGCCAGGCCCTGTCAAGTCTGCATTCAACTGTATTACATTTAAATGAAAGGATTTCTCGTAGCCTGCCTCAGTATAATATCCAATAAGTTTAATTTCATGTAATGTTGGTTTCGGTATATATAGTTCTAGATTTGTTTTTGGTTATGTGTATATTATCTACTGTTCCCTTGCTTTGTGGCTGTGTATCCCTCATCACTGTATGTATTTCCTGTAAAATACAACTAAAAATGAAGTCATATTTTATGTGAGCTCAAAAGGTCCAGTGTGTAACATTTAGGAGGATCTATAGGCAGAGATGGAATACAATATTCACAGGTAGATAATTGGTGTATAATCACCTGAAAATAAGCATCTACAGTTTAGACTGTCAAATAAATGTTTTTCACGAGTTTCATGGCCACTGTAGTTTTTCTTACATGCTTGGAAGGTTGAGCTGTATTCAAATGTTTGCAATCTGTAACTTCCTACACACTGGTCCTTTAGGTCACCGCAACAACTTTATGAATATGTTTCATCAACCAATATGTGATCATCATTCCTGAATACTTATAAGCTAACTTACTTACAGCTTATTTCATAGAATTTGCATACCTTTGGGAAATTCTTAACAGTTATGGTAATTCTCCCTCATTTGAAAAAAACGTCTAACATTTAAATTTTTTCTTCTGCCTAATTTGGATTCTGCATGAAGCAACAGCATCCTAAATGTTTATGCTCTTATCTTTGTGAAGAAGTAAAAGAACAACTTCGAAAATCAGCAATATGCAGCCAGTAAATTGTGGGAAATAGACCCCAGGGTCATGGGATTTATATAGTTTGGGGTTTAGTAATTTAATTAAAGTAGCTTTGGTTATGACATTTTAATGTTAAGATTCTGAACTGAAATAACATACTTAATGTTATAACATGATGAAATTACTAATTTGCTAACTCTGGGCTAAAACACTATCATATGTCTCTTAGCGGTCCAGATAATTCAAATATTGAAATGAACTGATACCGTACATGCAAGCCTATTTTATGTTCTAATGCAAGCCTGTAAGCATATTGTACAGTCAATGTGGCAGAGCTGAGCACATTTCTTGGCAGGTGACACTAAAATTGGATTTCCACACAAAGTATTAAGTAAAAAAGCATTTTTCTTTGAAAAAACTCACACAGTCAAAATTCTTTGACTTTGCTAAAGCTTATATAAAATACTACTAACTGTGCAAAAAAATAAAAAGTATTTAGAAACAACAGAAAACAGACATGGAGATTTATAAATGGGAATAATGAGAGTATGGAGACAAAGAGATACAGTCAGAACGCTGTGGACTGAGAGGAAAACTGTTCACTGAGCTCAGCAGCGTTTGGGCTGTTCGAGTTCAATTGGTTTGTCTGCTGAACCTCTGCTGCCATGTTCACTTGACTTGTTTCATTTTCAGCACAGTTCATACTTGTTGTTGAGTTGATTTGGACTACAGAGCTGGAGTTGGTTGGTTTTGGCGTGCTCTGCTCATCCCAGGGATCAGAGCTTTGCTGTTGGTTAGCACCCTCTGATTCTTCAGTCACTTGCGGTTTCTTGTTAAACTTGGGCACCTTGCAATTTTTGTCTACTTGGCTGTACAGGTTGGCAACAGACCTCTCTATGTCGGCTAGATTCTGGATGCTTTTCAGGATCCCTTTAAGCTCCTTCCTCTGCCCGTCAGTTTGTGATGGGTCAGGAGGAGGGGGGCGTTTCCGTTCTGAAACTGGTCGAAGCGAGGACACAGGTGGCAAAGAGCTTGGAACAAATTGGATGACTGGGCGCAGCTGATCACTGATGGCAGGTGAGGGAGGGGGAGGAAGAGGTGGTGGAGGTGGTGGAGCAAGTTGTTTAATGAAAGGAGGAGGAAGAGGAGGGGGTTGAGGGATATACTGAGGTTTATTAGGGTATGCGGGTGAAGGTGGAGAAGAAGGTGCGCTAGAGGGAGGAGATGTGGGTGGGGAAGGTGGAGGCGGCCGATGTGGAGGAGGAGGCGGTGGATCTTCAGGTGGGTCTGGTATGATCTCCACAGTGATCTGACAAGGCTGAACTGTCATGTAGCTGGAGATGCTCGAGCTGAACTTCCTGAGGACAGGTGGAGTTGGTCTCTGGCTAGCCAGAGGCCATGACTCTTCTCCCTTGGTAATGACAATGCTGGGAGGCACATCCCTGCCCACAGACGTGGGGCTGTAGGAGTAATCCATGATGGAGAGCAGGTTTTCTGTGGTCAGCTCCAGCATTTCATCGCCATCTCTATCCCTGACCAGAATGGAAGAGAGGGAGCCTTGGGAGCCTCTGTTGTGCCTGAGGGTTTGCTCCTGGAGGGCTTGCTGCTCAAACTGCCTGGCCTGCTCACGGACTGACAACTTGGTCTCTGTGCTGCCAGTCAGTTTAAGCGTTGCCGAACTCTGTGGCCTTCGCATGCCTCTCATGTCTGATTCGAGTATCTGCAGCTCCCAATCGTCCGGGTCCATAAGAGCTTGTCTCCTTGGCACCTCGTAACCATGCAACCCTCCATGAATGCGAGCAGGCATTGACCAGATGCACCCTGATCCTGCTGACTGGGAAGGAGAAAAGTAGAACTGCCTTTCAGACGGACTCTCCCCCCGCGCAAAGACATCAGGACTGCTTAGGGGGCTGTTGTCATCATAGACAGGGTTGTGAGTAGTGAGAGGGTTGCAGTCAGAGAGGAAGGTCACGTTGCTCTCTGACTTGGGCAAGTTGACATGCAATGCTCCGTTGCCGCGGGCTGCAATGGCACGACAGGCAAAGGTGCTAAGAATCCTCTGGTGGTCGGCCTCCTCAATGACAGACTTTTTAGCCCTGCCCCAGTAAGAGGTGGAGGTGAAGAAGAAAAAAGACTTGAAACAGGTAAAGATTGATGAAGAATGAGCGAAGCAGGGAAAAGGGATGAGGCAAAAGCAACAGCGCTATCATTTGTTCCCTGCATCTTAACTGATTATGACTAAGTATTGTGACTGTTACTCAGATTATTGATTTAAATAGCTTGATGTATGGTTCAGTTTTCAACTGTGTTTTGAATGTCTGCACAGGCTGCACCAATGGATGCATTATGTTTTTATGCCATCAAATATTGACATAATAATATTATGATGCCCACAGAGACACTGGGCTTTGGTCCAAAGACACAGAATAATACAAATAACTAATATCAAACCATATTGGAGGAATTAGTCATGTTCAGTCACAACACGAAGAGATGCGAAGGTAAGATCGACTGAATACAAAAGGAGACGATTATCTAATGGGAAGGGTTAGGGACAGTGGATGTAGTGATATCTACTGAAGTGCAGTTCCTCTAAACAAAGGGTTTCACTAAACCTAAAAAAATTACAAAACTTTCCAACTGCTACCATTCCACCAAGGTTAAAATGCATTTACACACAAGGGTATTAATGATAAAAGAAAAGAAACACACTTTTTAAATAAATGTTATGTATACTAAAAACACAACTATATATAATATATGCCTATGCTCAGCAAATGCCATAAGCAAGAGGGTAAACACAGGTGCTGCTCCTGTACTATATTTACAAATAATATTGATCCTATTCATAGACCTGATATATTTTGAGTTTACTTACTGCAGTCTGAATCCAGAGAGACAGGGGAATATAAATGATGGAGAAGATAGAAACACAGACAGATGGTAAGATGACTAAAGCAGCAATGTCAGAGGTGTGGATGAAGTGTAAGCTCAAGGGTGCGTCAACTTTTTTGGATTTATTTGCTGTGTGCATCTGAGGGTATGCAACACTGTTGGCAAAAACACAAAGCACACATAAACTCACTCACACACACACACACACACACACACACACACACTATACCTTTCCAATCAAAAAAACGTTATGCTTTGCACATGAAGTTTCAGAGTGTTTTAATGGGGTTGTTTATAAGACCAACTCCTCTTGTTCCTATTGCATACTGGAAAACAACCCCCAAATAAATGATGCCCAGCTACAATACAATCCCCTTGAGAGCTTTTCTCCTGCTACAGATCCAAAAGCTTCTGCTTGTTGTTAAGTGTTGGTCAACAACATTACAAAGGGTCTTTACAGCATGTCATTAAATCTCTGTTTCCTTTTTTTTTTTAACAGCGATTGTGATGTAAGTAGCAGTATCGTTTGAACAACTTGTAAATCAAAATTATTAAACCCAGCGGGGCAGCAGTTTCAATTCAATCTCATTTAATCTGCACGCATTAACATTTCATTACACGTTCAGTGTAGTATTTAACATGAAAGGTGAAAACGGATTGTGCTGATGGCAAAACACTGTTGACATAAAGGCAAGCTCAGGAAGCGTTCAATATAGGTATTAATGAAAGGAAGGTTTAAAGTAATTAATGACAAAATCAATTATAAAGCACAGGCCAGGTTCTGTATTTGTTTCTATTTCCAGTAAGCTATGCAGTATGTTATGAACTTAAACACACTCTTACCTTGACAAGGGTCTTGCAAAAATGCATACGAAGTCAATTATGAAACACATACATAAGCTAAAGTCTAATCACCAGCTGCGCTGCGGCATATAGTGCAGTTTGCAGAAATCTATAGTGGATCATGGTTAGGAAGCCAAAGAGCAGCGAGATTCATTGATGCAGCTACTAATCTGTCTAAAGCAGCACTGGTCATTATACAAAAGAGGGGTAATATGATTTTTAATAATAGCCAACTGTTGACGTTGTAAAAAGCAGGAAAATATGAAGGCAGTAGGATTAACATTCAACCTGAAAGCATTCCCTCTGAGTTTGGACCTGAAATATAAAGACAGGAACCCGAAGAGCAAAATAGCTTTTTATCATGGGAACAGGTGGGATGCGAGATAGATAATAAAGGGTCAGGGTTTACTCACATGCTGCTGTCGCCCAGTTCTTCATAGAGGTTAGCAGTGGGAGCACCCGCTGGAGGTGCTTTCCCTCCTGGTGGTAAAGCCATCTGAATCCTGGCAGTTTTGGCACACTCTGCCTGTCGCCTGTGAAAAATTTTAACATTTACAGTTACCAAGATATGTGTTTCTAGTCCACTCATACACAAACATAAAGAAAAATCAACCCAAAATACCATTTGTTTCTTTCACATTTAATGTAGTTAAGAATAAACTCCTCCTTTCTAGAACAGTGCAGTTAAAAAGTGAGTAGAAGCCAGACACATCACTTATGTATGAAGTCTAACATGAATTAAGGATGTGTTTTCACAAAGATTTTTTGTAAAAAAAAGGGGCACATGCAGTAACTGGTGGTAAAACTAAATATACTGTTATGTTCAGTCATGTCTTAAGAGATGTTGGGGATAGGAGTAACTTGGTAAAGTGGGGTGAGGTATAGGTAGCATCTATTCATATTTCATGTTTAAACAAAGCTGCATTTTGCATGCTATTTTTTACTGTTAAGGTCAAAACAGCAGTGAGCCTTGATATATTATTCTATCACACTGGAGTCATCTTGCCATATGTCTTCTATATGCAAGTCTAATATTCACTCTTATTTTAGTCCTGGTTTGTTATCTTTTTAGCTAGTTCAACTCTCCATCATTTACTTATTTATTTTGAAAGCTGCGTAGAGCTTTAAGTGTTGATTCTTAATGGGATTCACAATACTAGCAACCCTTTCACCTTTAAGGGAGGCATTTGTTTCAGTACAAAAACTATTTTATAAACAAGCTTTACTAACGGAAACAATAGAAGAATAAAAGAAGGGAGCAGTAAAGGTATGACAACATATTCCTGTAACATTTTAAAGTCAAGTTTGAGGTTGTTAGACAATCAAAGATACTTGTAATTCTAATAGAAATTGACATTATGATACCTAACAACTGAAAAGTTATTGTAGAAGCCTTTATTTGTGTTCACCTACGGGGTTTAGAGTTACATTATGCCTGATTATACTTTTCTTAAGGCAGTAACAAGGAACGTTCAGTTTTTGTTGATTCTGGTAGGCCCCTGTGGACAAAAGCGGTAGTGTTTCCACTGCCTCGTTTCACTGATTTCAAAGGGAATCCGACCGAATCTGACCTGGTGGCAGGCACTAAGAATAACTATACAGAAATAGCCAATCTTCTTGCTGATGGTCTCGTGTGCTTATGTAGGTCATATAGAGGCATCAGTATTAAATTGAGACTGTTTCACAACCAGTTAAAAAATCCTAGTAGGTTCAACTAGGCCTACAGTAGGTAGGTAGCTAGGTAGTAGGTAACCTTTATAAAAATGTCTGAGAAAGACAGTTGAGTCTCATTCCCAGGACCCAAAGCGCTGGTATTTGACGACTTAGGAACGAGACTCAACAATCAACTATCCTTCTTGGATCTGATTGGTTGTTTTTTTTTAGCCACGGTGGATTCTTGCAAATGCCATTACGAGCTAGAGGACTCAGATTTTCTCATATATTATCTGTCTCATGTAGTACTGCCAACATATAGTGAAGGTTTCAGCAAATATGACAAAGAAGTTCTTTTTCTAAATGTTATACTGCAGTTTAATGCACACGCAGAACTGATGAGGATAGATTACAGGGTTTTAACAGAGTGATGCGGGTAATGTTAGAGTTGAGTGAGTGGATATTAGTACATAACTATGAGTCTTGTTGATTTTTGGGTTGATTTTCCTTCTGAATTGCATCAGATTTTCCACATGAAGAGAAACTGTTCTACCAAATCAAACATTCATTCTGTAACCTCCAAGATGAATCAGTGTTGCTTTATGTCATTATACTGGAGACACTTAGAAAGGGTGGCATTAGCTGGCATGTATTTTGTTCATCATCCTCACACATTCAACTCATCTTTAAATAACTAACGAATAATGCTGATGAAACAAACTACTACAAACTACTCAAGCAATGAAAGAGCAATCACTTGTAAAACATGAAGAAAAATAATTACTTACTCTTTGAACCTGGTGATGGGTTTTGATTCAGAGGAAGCAGAGAGAGGAAGAGAAAGAGATAGGGGACAAAAAAGATGAGTAATTACATAATAGGAAAGACTGTAACTGTAGACGAAGACATGTTAGATTAAATAATGACCAGTATTCATGCAATTGTTACTAAGACAACAGAATATATTTGTGTAACATACTATGTTTATCTATTTAATCACAAAACAGGAGAAACAGGAGAAAACTTTCAATATGTTTCTAATTTCTATGCAAAGTAGGAAGCACTCCAGCCTTCAGCAGTGACTGCAGGGCTACATGAAAAAGTAGCCATTGCTTTTTTCTTAAGTGAATCTTCTATGCTTCATGTCACCATTACTTATTCACAACAAAATTCAATTATTCCACATGAATAAACAGATTCATGTTTTAAATATTATATTCCAAATTTAGGCAACAGCGAATTATGTTGACTCACAGAAATGAGAAAGTGATTTCCTAAATCATTTCATTTTACCAAAGTAATGTCGCCACCAACAAAGCACCATCTGCTATGACAGTTTGTGTGTTAGGTCTAATGTCACCATCAACAGCTTTCTGCTGTGTGTTTGGTCTGTGCATTTGCGTAAGGACAACCACTCCACCCATCTGCTGTGAATAAACATTTTCCAAGCATCAACGTTTATGGAACACTTGCAGCATGCCAACGATTAGAAGAGATAAGAACCTGACTCCTGCCAACAAAGAGATCAAGTACCTCAACAATCTGAATGATGCTTTAAACAAAAAGCACCATCTTTTTTTAAACTGTACAGTGAGTGTGAATGAGAGCAAGCCAGACTGAGAAAGCACTGTTTACTGTGTGTGTGTCAGGCAGAGATGATTAAGTACTGTGAAGACACTCTGTGACGGTCACAATTGGCTGTAGATATTTGTCACAAATGAGTGTTAATTAATCTGCTTTCACAGAGCATGAGCAGGGAGATTAGCCCAGCAGAGTGCGCAGTCAGCATGTCTGATGAGAGAGAGAGAGAGAGACGAGAAGAGAGAGAGAGACACACACACAAAAAGACAGCAGGCAAGCTGTTGCTTTATCTTAAATACTTGACAAATACACTTTTCAACAATGCTGTTTGTGGTTTTGCCTGGCTCAATTCTAACAGGCCACAGGGTACAGGATGCAAACAATGGTTTACATTCCAACAATAAATATCTGATTTGCCTGTGAGGAGCAAACCCTTTAGCTAAAACTGAGAGTAACACAATATCTCCCAAGACAATGGTCTACTTAATTAGAATGTATTTCCCTCTTAATTTCTTGACAACCAGTTAAAGATGATTAATCGAATACAGAAGCCAGTGATTATTACTGAGGTGAGAGAACTCACTGTTTGTAGGTGACCATCACAATGAGAATTGCGGGGATGCAGCAGAGGATGATGATGATGGCCAGGGCCAGGAGAGCTCCCTCTGTGTAGCCCACCGCCTGGGCCGCCTTCTTTACACTGGCCACAATGTCTGGAGAGCGAATCTCGAGGATGCGACCACCCTCGCCCAGGTGTGGCTGGAACTCCTTGTTGATTTCCAGCACATTCCCATCCAGAAATCTGTTATCACATCATGAGTACAGGAAAGTTAGTTAGAAAGCACTCACAATCCACTGTATTCAACCTGCTCAGCACCAAATGGCTGACAGACAAAGATAGCTGGTGAACGCTTTGGAGCATTTAGCAGGTATAGAGCCAGATATTTTCCTCAGGAGTTGGTATAGACTAAAAAGATGGTTGTGTCTAGATGGCAAGCCTAGATTTGCAAAACTATTGCGGGAATTGTACTTGATTTGTACTTGTTTCTGCATGTGGGAGAAGTTTGCTTTCAGGGCTTTCTTACCCAGGTCTCCTGTGTTTTGACCATTGCATCCACCACAACCTCTTCCCTACATGGACTTCTTTATGATATGTCACCTGACTTCCTACAGGCTTTGTCAAACTTACCAGTTTTTTCAAAAGATTTGTCGCTCTTCAAAACAATAAATTTAGTCTTGGTTTTATTGTAGAATAAGCTAGAATACAACCATATTTTGAAGCAGATCCTGATATATCTGCCATTGCAGAGTCAAGTGCTACTGTGTTGAATCATATACAGATGTGTGAGTGTTTTGCAAATCTATGGTTACCATCTAGACATGGCCCAAAAACAGAGCAGCAACATATCAGCTTGAAAGTAAATAATTATGTCAACACTGTGTTTACTTGTTTCCACTGTCCCCAAATGGCCAAAAATCAGTTATTACAGGTTTAAGTGTCTTATCTGAGAGACAATTATTTAAAGATCAGTGGCATCTGGTAATTTAGATGATCACATTATGAATTATGTAAAAGTGACTGGGGATCTGCATACTGTTCTTAGAAATGCAAGTGATTTGTCTAAAAAAGAAAACAATTAAATACTTTCGACCAAAATGTATTGATTCATACGTCTGCAGTGTTTCAATTACAGACCTGTGGCAGAATTTGCATCAATATTGTAGTAAAATGAACATGCATACAAGCAATTCACCCACTGTTGTACCAGTGTTATTTTGTATCAAATAACTAGAGTGGCTTTCAAACATTCTGCATCACAGGCGTGTGCACACTGCCACATCCAATTACTGTCATTTTTGTTTTTCTATAGGTGAATAAATGAGTGGAGATGAAGGTTATTAAATGGCTTCTCTAGCAATCTATCCTCTTAAGAGCCCAAATGGTAGAACATGCTGTATTCAAGGTGGCATAAGGACACTCACATGCAAGAATCCACTCACTACGTGGTCTTTCTCTTTCTTTCTTTCTCTGTGATCTGACAGCAGATATATTACATGCAATTACCCCACAACATTGTCAGACATGTACTGCATGCATAAAAAGCTTTTCCCCTCGTCTAAAGGATTTTCCTGACAGTATCTGTATCTAAGGAAGCAGAATCGTATTAAAGCCTCTCTAAAATTAGCTTGGCCCTCTCAGAAGCTGCCACTTGCGATAACAGTGATGGTCACTGGTTTTAGTTAAAAAAAAGATGTTTTTATGACACAAGTGACACCCTTCCAATGGCTCCAACCTCAATCCCCCACTTAACACCACACAAAACAGTGGAAGCACTCATCTGATGGTCAAGGACACTGAGATAATGTCAATAGATTAATTCAGTATGTACACAAAGCACCCATGAATGTCATGTGTGGAGCATTTCCAAATGAATCTCATCACAGAGAGAAGGGGTGACGTTTCTTTGAGCCACACACAAAACAGAATTGGCAGTAACCATGGATAAAGAGAAATAAAGACAGAAGATGGTGTCAGCTCAGTGTAAGGAGCAGGAAAGCAAATTGGTAGAGAGTGAAGGGGACAGCTCAGATAGGGGTGTTTCCTATTGATTGGCTACTCTCATGCTCTGATGGAGTTGCCTTTTTAAAATTGGTGTCTGATCGGTTTGACAGAAGGGCTAAGAAACATAAGAAAGGTTAGGACAAGATTGTCCTCAGGTGCCAGCTAAGGCCAAGGTCTTTTTCTTCTGCTGGGATATAAGTGTCTTGTAAGCACCTTCTGTGCTGCTTTAATAGCATGCGAACATGGCCTCTTAGTGGTCAAACAGGGTTTAAGCACACAGAAATATCTCGTTTTCCCTATATAAAAAGGAATAAAATGTATTGCTGGCATATCTCCAGGATCTTGGAACAGCCTTTGAGGGACTGGTATGATGGGTTGATGGACTGATTGAAATACTCCCTGCTTCACCCTCATGTTGTCTCTCCCTCCCTTATATCTGCCTCTTTTCTATGACATATGACAGATTTGGTGCACCTGCAGGATAATCAACATCTTGAGAAAGTGAAGGCAGTGAAAAAATGGATACACTGTAGAGGAGGAAGCCAAGGGGGGGGCCTGAGAAAGAGACATTTGCTGACTCACTGTATGGACAGAGGATTAAGAGAGACTGCAGGGAAAACATGCAGCACAGCAGGGACATTAGAACATCAATTTAAACCAAATGGTGGACTGTGCTTCTTGTAATAAAATTCACCCACTCACTTGAAGAGCTCCTTGGGCGCAATGGCTCTGTTCGTGAGCGGGTCAATAGCGTACACCATCAGGTCCGACTTGCTGTAGTCTTCTAGCTCAAAGCCATCGCCATGACGACGTGGCCCGATGGACTCGACAATCACCTTGGCACCCGGGATCTGGTCCTGGACGTGGCGCTCCAGAATACTGAAAACAAAACCACAAGTAAAACTTATATAAAGAAAGCAATAAAGGCATAAATACTAAAAAGCAGTTAATGTCTAGACTTATATAAACTATAATCCAGGTTCACATTAGTTCAAACCATTTCTGGCACCTCTCTGCCAAAAGCAATATGAGAGCCACCAATCTTAAGTACTCCACTCTGGCAATGATTGTCCCATTGGGCAGCAGTTTTCTTCCCCACACTGGGCTCTTGGCAAAGCAAGGCTCCGATAATCCTTTTCAGGCAGTGAGAAATCCACACCTCAAATTACAGCCAATAAAGGAAAGCCTTGCCGTCTGCCTTTGCCAAGGTGGATAAACAGTTTGAGCACTCAGGTAAAATGGCCCCTGGATCATCACCAGCACTGTGCAAAATCGCAGACCTCTCAAATGACATCACTGCAAAGAGCTTAACATGACTAATGTGTGTGTTTTTCAGCCTAAAGAGCAGTGTCACTTGGGTGGGAGAGACACACAGCAAGCTCTTGAAAAACAACTATTAACGCCCATTTGCCTTTCAGATTGACTAATTAGGCTAAACACTGTGCCCCAAGAGCTGAAAAAATATGTTTCATGAATCTCTATCATTAATTAATTTGGACTAGGAAAAAGGACTCTAGAGGACTCAACTGACTCATTGGCTAGTCTATGATCTTAATTGATTGGACAATGGTTATTGAACAACAAGTTGGCATAACTAATATTTATTAGTCCATGTTTATTTTCAATAGTTGTTCGGAACTGCTGAATCATACATGTCGCTCAAGTCCTTCGAAAATAATTTCATTTGCAAATTAAGGTGCCACCATGAACCAAGTTCACCTCATATCACAGTGGGCAAAGCACTGGACAAAAATGCAATTCATTTTCTAGTGTAAATTATACCTGAATAATCAACAAAAGACATTTTAGAATGCAAGGAAATGTCCTGAAAATAATATGCTGCATGGATGAGAGTGGTAAAAGGGAGGTGGTGATGAGCATCTGCTGAAAGATGAATATTTTATGGCTATTTCACCTTCTTGTTACATAGTTTACTTTATAAAATGTTAACCCAAATATGTACTCCTAGCATTATGGAAACACAGGTATTGGTTTATTCTCATTTAATTTGGTTTTACTTTCAGATTTCATGTTAAACGCTGTCTTACCTAATGAGCTCCTCCCTTTTCTCCTCCACTAAGGTGGGTGGGACAGTGGACACAACAACTTGCATATCCAATGCGTTGACCACAGAAACCTGAGAGGGAGTAGGATGGAGGGAAAGAGAGAATAAAAGAACCACAAGGTAAAACAGACAGCAGAAAAAAAGTTATTCACATGCGTCCTAATGTGAGTTTGTTCGATTCATTCAAATGCTTCTTTCGGTGGACAAATGAGACTCTCTAATTGCCTGCTTGTATTGGTGCCATGCGGCAAACTTAACAGGGCCTACTTCTGATGCCGCAGTTAAGTGCATAGGCAACAGCCTCTGTGCTCCGAAGCCAAATCTCCCATGCGGCTCCTGTGAAATTAGGTTTCCCCTTGAAAATTAACGAGCACCATGGTTAAGCACTCGCTGCTCTCTCATATCCAGGCAATGTCCCAGACCCTCCTTCTGTCTCGTTAGAGGCTTGTTAGCCAGACATATTTCACTGAAACGAAAAATAAGCCTGCCCACAGTCAGGAAAGATAAGCATTGAACTGGGGGCAAAGCTGAGCCCAATCACAGCGAGTGCATGGGGAAATTATAGGGAAAAAGAAATACACACAGAGAATAGAGACACACAGACACACATTTAGACAAACATATAGACACACACACACGGACATGGACAGATGTACATAATGCGTTAGTTACATAATGAGTTAATACACATGGCTGGGAGAAAGAGTTTAACTGGATCATCAGCCAGTGGCAGAGGCCACACGTTGAGTGCCTCATACCCACTGTGCATAATTCAAAAGAGTGGAACCAAAAGTCCTAGTAGTAGTAGTACTAAGAAAAAACCTAAAGAAAAAAAACAAAAACAAAAAACACATAATCTAGGCTCATAATAAACACATTACTATGAAGGAATACAGAGCAGAGGTTTCTCCAAAGTGAATAAACGAAATTTACTCATATATATCATATTTTGATATACTGACAAAACTTGTTAAAACAGCCATTCATGTCGTTCATGTTACTTCATAAAACATCACTCGATTAAACAAATAACATGTTAAAGGGGTACTCCAGTGATTCAATATTGCACTTCCATAAAGTAGAGGGAGTGTGCAGCAGATATCCTGACTTTTACTCCGTAGTATAGGACAAGCTCTAAACCCCTGGACCAAACACTTCCTATAATGCAACTTGAACTTGTCTTTTGTTAGACCTTCTCTACCTAGTCTTTCAAACTCCACACTAACAGTCTATAATACAGACAGCATAAATAATATAAAATAATAATTCAACATGTTGGAAAAGATTAGCTTAGATTAGCATAGACAGAAGATAGAGAATTTGTGAACTTTACATTTTGTTATTTATAGACAGAGCTAGCTGTTTCCATTCTTTGTGCTGAGCTAAACTAACTGGCTGTAGGTCCATATTTATCATACAGACATGAGAGTGATTTCATCTTTTTTATTTAACTCAAGAAACCCAGAAAGTGAAGAATGCATTTCCCAAAAGGTCAAACTTTTTCTCCCACAAGTCTAATCCAAGATTATAAAACTGATGTTATTTGAGTAATTTACTGGGACTTGACAAAGCTCCTTTAGAGCCACTGAAGACAATGTTTTTACAGGCTGTGCAGCACACCCCAATAACTACTAAATTGACTTTGACGTGTAAAATTGTTGGAACGCCCCTTTAATAAGGCTCTCCTGTATCAATGAATTGTAGACAGGTGACATTGCAAACCAATTCCACACTTCAAAGCACCGTTCTCTGCAGAGATACCATGCCGTGAACACAGCATGTGACGTAGAATCAATATGCCAATGGTGTGTAGGTAACAAATAAGTCAAGGACTAACAAAGTGTGCTCACCAGTGGAAGAAACAGTTCAGTACATGTGCTGCATATATATTGATCATTACAAACATAGATACACTGTAAAAAAGCACCATACTGGATACTCACCACCACTTGGGCACTGCTGCTGAGACCTTTTCCATAGTTGTCTGTGGCAATTACTTCAAACTTGAAGTAGGACCTGCGCATGTTTCGGAACATCATGGCCGATTTGATGATACCTGTGTAGGTCTCGATGACGAAGCTGTCCTTGCCCTCTGGTGTGGGTGGGATAATCAGGCGGTATGCCATCTTACTGTAATTCCCAGTGTCCTTATCAGTGGCCTATAACACACATGTAGCGCACACAATGTGAGACAGGAAAACATCAATGTGATATACTTAAGAAAAAAGAACAAATTTTATTCAGACAACAATGTCTGGATTTTTTGGAATGAAATGGACTGAGATATCAATACAGCCCGAGCCAGCTTCCACACACTCTTGACTGTGATGGTGGCTGTTGTGGTTCCAAGCATATTGCACTTCTGGCCACTTCCCAATCAATGACATCATAGGGAAAAAATGTGTCTTTGAAAGCCGATGGGAAACACCTGCTGTGACATCAGTGAATTGGACCAGAAGAGCAATATACTTGAAAGTTTAAACAGAAAACACTGAGGATGGGGTTTTATTTCTTGTGTGATGCAGTGTTCATTTACCCCCAAATCTCCCCTGTGGAGCTTCAGTCTTGCTGTTATTTATCACACAATTATTCTGCAGCCATGTGACAAATCAAAATGATTAAATTTTCACATGACAACAGACTATCAGAGCTTCCTGGCCGTATAACTGGAGGTTAATGCTGCTTTTTTTCTTGAAGGCAGCATTTCCTTTTATGCAGCCATGATTTGTTGCCACAGTGTCGTATTATGTTGTGTAATAATGTCAAAACCACTGATGGACAACCATTATAACCTTATGTTAAACAAAAGCTGGCTAGAGTGGGAACCTAGAGTGTTTGACACATTTTTATTAACAATTCACTGATCACAACAAACTGAAACAAGCAGTGAATGAGTGGAGCTTTAAAGTGATGTCCTCCTGGCGGAGATATTTGCTCATAATTCTTTTTCCATGCAGGTGTTCTGTAAAAGTAGCTGACAAAAGGGAAAAGAGCTGCAGCTGGAGGCTCATCAGTTATCTCTATCTCAAGTGGTTTGTTTCACACTGCTGCAGCATTAACCGTTGTTACCCACGGTAAAAGGCTAGAGAAGAGCAAAGGTTTCCTGTCTTTATTTTTTTTATTGTTCAATGTTGAATAGTTTTGTTTCTTCAGAGGTGCAATCATATTTTCTGGCTACTGATATGGCAAACTTTGTTTAAAGCTTGGGTAGGTAATGCATTTAAGAAGGACTTTTTGTCATATTTGTTGAAATTATTTTTATATCCCGACCGCAATCAATAAATCAAATGCTCTGAAAAAAACCTACAGTATCTGTGGCTGTTGCATGCCTGTAATAAGCTGGCAATCATTTCATTCAAATCGAATGGGTGCTGTGCATAAGTGTTTTGTTTTATTTTTTTACCCGTCTGAGAGACCAACGATCTCCGCAATCAATTAACTAGTGGAAAATCTCCCCTCACTCTCCCCCTCCTGTACAGTCTACTGAAAATCGCTCATGCTCTGCAGAGAAACACAAAGTGAAAGAGAGACGTAAGCCTCCTCCACACGCTCCAAAATGAGAGTTGTATTTTTTGGGCAACAAAGAAAGTCATCAGAGCAGAACAGACATGCAGCCTGTATGTGTCTGTGCCTGAACGATACACCAATGGAAAAGAAAAGAGAAAAGAAAGAGTGGCGGGGCAAGGCAAGCCAGTGAGTGTGTGCAAATATCCTAATCCCCAAAACTGAAAACTGAATACCTATTTAATGAGAATATTTGGGGCAGCCCTAATTTTTTCGGTTAGATACTTTCAAAATCTGGCAGTCCAGTCTAGCTACCCCATCTTTATTTACACCGTTATGGAGCAAAATCATCATTCATTTGGAATAGAGTTTGTAATGTTAAAAAAAAGTTCCATATTCACTCTCTTTTAGCTCTGTTTTTGGGCTCTACCAACTCTTTAGGGAAATGTCTGGCTCCTTAGCTGCTAAAAGCACCACAATATTCGCTAACTGTGTCTGTCTGCTGTTTGGTGCTGAGCAGGTAGTGTACAATGGGCTTCTAGAGTTTTTTCACTGAAAACAGCTGTCTGCTACAGCCAAAAATGGCACTATAAGAGCGGTAAAAGTGAAACCAAACAGAAAAGTTGTGGGCCAGACAGCTAATCAATGAGCTGAAAGTCACTTTAAAGTTCTGTAAAGTCAAGTGCAGCTGCAGTGTCCGATGATAATTCTCTGTAGTTTCATCTCTACTAAGGATGCCTGTAACTTGGACACTACCATTTGATAGATTATTATTTTAAAAATATTTATTACAGCCGTTTTAAATAGGAAAGTCTAATTAATTAATTAAATGAACCTCTAAAATCTTAAAAAACTACGTAAAATTGAGTTTATTCCCTGAGGCACAGTTATAATTGGCCACTGAGCTCACACACAGGCATCAATTTTCAAAGTTCTTGTCGGTAGCGAGTGACACTGATAAATAGGAGCAATCTCTTTTTTTCTCTAGCTATTGGCAGAGGAGGGACATGGGGAGCAAGGTCCCAATGAAAGGGCTGCATAAATCAAGAGAGTGAGATACCCTCATTGGGTAAAGACAAATGAAATATCAAATACATGCATTAGATATGTAGGGCAAACATTTTAAAGATGTGATGGACACTGTTGTGAGGTTGCCAGCTACCACAAGACAGCGAGGGGAAAATGTATAGGTTCCAATGGTTGACATTAAAGGGGACCTATTATGCTAATTTCCAGCTCGATATTTATATATTTATATGAAATAAGCCATTTTAGCTCCTGTCTCTTTAAAGCCCCCCCTCCCTGTAAGCCTACTTTTAAACTTCCAGATGCCTGCCGAGGGGGAGCACCCAGTGCTTCATCCTCTTGCCAGTGAGATGCTGAATTTGCCAGGACTGGAAGCTCAGAGCTCCGGGAGAGTGTTGGTGTTTACACCTCCAGTAAAGGAGCTGTGGACCGCTAGGAAGCGCAAGTGCTCCGAAATCCCAGTCTGGCAAGAGTCAGCTAATAAGAAATAATAAGAAAGCTAGCTAACGGCACCTACACTTAGCAGCAGTTTGTGGTTAGCCACTTTGGCATCAAGTATACAACAATCTGTCAGAGAATCAAGGCAGAGCAGCCAAGGGCATCAGAGGAAGAAGCACAAAATATCTAACTTTCCTTCACAACTGAAAAAGCACTTTCTGCGAGGCATACAGACAACCTCCAAAAAAACTTAGAGTAGTCCAGAATAGAGCGATCAAAAAACTTCAACCGACTGAGCGAGTGCTGTGCCTGAAGCAGAACTTTTTTTGTGAAATTTTGTGTTCAGAGCAGTCTAAAACCTGAGCATCTTGCTCACATGTACCTCATTATTTGACATTATATGATAGAAAAAGCATAATAGGTCCAAAATCCTTCAGAACACAAAAAAATAAACGTGAAGCATCTCCTTGTTGTTCAGAAAGCTTTTCCTTGTGTTTAAAAGGGGCCAAACAGTCATTGAAGGAGACAGTCATTTGGCTACCCATGAATCCAATTACTTACTGATTACAAAACAGGGTCAAGTAAGTGTCACAAGGAGCTGGGTCTAATCATATAATCAAGACTTTTCCCTCTAAACAGCACACTTCTACCTTGTTAATGAAACATTTTTCAATTAACTTTTCCCCCTCTACTGAAATAAGACTTCAGCAGCAAATATGGCAAACCTATCTGGCACTGCAAAGTAAATTTGCTTACATGAAAATGTCGACCAGTTATTGCTTGTGACTATACTATTTCTGGCTAAGTGTGAAATAACAGAAGGTCAGAAGTGTCAGAATATGCCAAATGTACGATGACGATATTGCTAATGATTATCTCCAGAGAAAAGGGGTGCTCAGCTTTATTACTAATTAAGTCAAGTACAAACGCCTCACACTAGCCATACTCCAAAGAAGCTGTGGCTCCTGGGGAAATTATACATAGCACTTGACCCATAATTCAACACTTTGGTGTCTATTCCAAGTTAAAGGAAAAGCCGAAAAGGGATTCGGAAATGGTTGAGTGCTACAAGCCACTGCACAGTGTTCAATTGATAATTCAATGCCACATCTGAACCTACACAAGATGGGTTTTAACATATTTAGAGGACTAAGGCAATAGACATTGTTAAACAGCTGTTATTTTAAAATCATCTCCATCATTAATTATTCTAGAAACAAATCTCTGCATTCCTAATCTGAAAGCTACAATAACTTCCATTCCTGATACAGGTTATCAGTTTGTACGTAATTACTTTATACATACATACTCTCTCTCTCTATCTCTCACACACACAGACACACACAAAGCCACGCTGATTTTAAATTGTAGCTGGAGAAACAATGTTTAATGAAATTATGATTTACTGGTGTCTGATCAATTGTCTGTTTTTAAGTTTCACCCATTCTGTATTCTGGATGCTTGGATTTCTACAGTTTTGGTGTAAAATGTATTTTAATTTGTCTATTTGTTGTCCCTCAAACTCCAATATAATCTTGTTATGCTCAGGTGAGTTTTTGTGTGCCTCAAGCATACAAAATTTGGCTCATAAGTGTTTAATTAATTGTGAATGGTTAATTTCCAGCCTGTAATTTCCAGTGTTATCTCAAGACCCTCTAACACAACAGCTTTAAACACTAAAATTTGGCTGGAGTTTCATGCCATTTTATTAATGACAATAGAGGCCATCAGGAAACTTAATTAACCCCTTTTTTTTATCAAATGTCTGTGTCAAAAGACCTGCTAATACATTTTGGGGATGGAGCTATCCATTTGCATTACTGATTGTGGCTCTAACTCGTGGTGAAAATAAATATATAATAATTATATTAGTTCAAATTAAGGTTATACTGTTTGTCAAACTTTAACCAATGTAAACATTTCTTTCCGTTTGAAGGTGTAAGAATAAATATATGACTTATACCTTCAACCTTTGATTTTTATCTCTTGCACACTATATACATGTATCATCATCCATCATCCATCCAACCACACACATTATCATGTACTGAAAAAAGGGCTAAGAGTGTTCTACAGTGATCAAACCTCAAGGCTACATCCACACTACTATGTTTCCATAGACTTAAGTAAGAATTTAATAAATATACAACACACAAGCACTGGCCAAGCAAAGTGCATTTGTTAAAATGGTTTAATGTCTTATATTTAATTTTAGGTTTCTGCAGATGTAAATGTGTTTAGGTCGTTTTTTTACTTGGGTATCTCCTCTAAGTATTTGTTCACATGCAATCGTCTGTCTTTTAAATATATGCTAATCCCATGTTTATAGTTGTCAAATGCAGTAAAAAATGATTCACATAGCTTTACCAAGTCCTTGAGGAATGTTTCAGTGTCCTACAAGATCTTTTTTTTAAGTTATAACATAAAGATTAAGGATAAGCTCATTTCCTGCAGCAGGAAAGCAACCCAAGAGTTTTATTTGAGACCATCAATAAAGGGAATATAATCCCTGTCTGCCCCTGGTATTCCTGTCTTTTTACTTTCAGACAGCAACACATTCTTACGTATTTTATTAATAAGAAAAAGGGCATAAGATGAGTGACAGCTCACTCCTCTGTATCATATGATGATTTGGCTGATTTTCGCATTCGCATCTCCTCAAGTTGCCTGCTAGATATTACACTGCTTCTTTTCTTAAATCATGTCTTAATACCTTTGGACCATGTCCAATGTCCATTATACTGAAAATAGCTCCCACGTTTTTGGCCAGCAGTTTAATCTAAAATGGCTACAGTTCCTCCCAATGAAGTTTCCTTTCACCTCCAAAAAATTTGGAAAGGAGTTTGTAAAACCCATAATGCACTATATGTATGTTGTTGGTCTGTGCTGTGTTAGGACGAGTGACACATAGTTCATGACATCAGTCTTACCCTGCATAAAAGTCTTGAACCAAACAGTCAAATAAACCAGAGATTGCTTAACCTGCACCATTTTTCCACTCGGACAGATACTTCTTTCTAAGTTAAGTGAATGATACTAAGTGAATAAAATAAGGTTCAAGGTTCAGGTTAGCTGCCCAACACAAACTATTACATCCTATTAAAGATTAGGATTTTCACTGACATTGAAAACATAGATGATTTGGTTTATTACGATAGGCCAGTGAGTCTCAAAGCCCGAGTCTAACATTAATTATGGCACAGGCTTTGGGAGAAAAATACAGTCTGGATATCAAAAAATGAACAGCCAGCATTAGTCTGCAAACTTATTATTACAAATCAATGAACATCCAATACATGATTTATTAAGGTTATAATCACATGAAATACATCCTTTAAAAAAAGAAATTGGAAACAGACTGTTAAAAATAGTTAAAGTGAAGTGGCCAGGAAATATATGTGGAGAATGACAGCTAGGGAGAGGTATGCGGGCAGACTAACTTGATCTGTAGCAGTTATTTTGACCATTTTTTTACAATGGCATTTCAAAGACTATTTTCGATATGTAACAGGTTCTACTGGAAATCCTTCACATACTTTAGAAGATATTTTTTTATCCCTCAAAAAGATTCTGTTGCTGTTATGGTGGCTTGTTAACTTCTGCCTACAACCAGGATTAGTTCATCTCTGCTGTCTTTTCCTACCTGACTATTGCCTTAACAAACAAACATATATTTTGGAGTGCCTGCATTAGCTTTCAGCTTATCTGTTGTTTCCCCCATTTTAGACGAGCACCCAACATGTTTTATCTACGGTTGAGTATACATCAATCAAGTTACCTCCTTTATCTATTTCTTATGCACCACTTAACACTGTATTTAAATACTACATACTTCAATTACAAATTAGACACTCTATTAGAATAAACTAAACACAAAAATCTTAAACAAACAAACTTGATTTGATGAAATATTATACTTTCACACATAACTGCATGACACTGGTTCCCAAGGATTTTGTACACAGACACAAACCTAAGCTTTCAGTAACACCCACCCACGGATAAAGGAAAAATACAGAAATACAGTACAGTGTAGTACACAGAATGACAAAGGCAGAACAGGCTGATAATCAGACAGGATGTCCAGCCATGTTTCTGTGAACATACTCGGATTACACTGCTCAGTTCACTCTGATCCCACCTGCTCGTGGACAAGGGAGACAGTGGGGAGAGCGAAATTGAGGAAGAGATGTAGCGAGCGATAGGGGAGGATTTGAAACTGTGCCACAGAGAGCAGATCGAATGAATGAATTTTCCCACCATGGCTGCAGGGTAAGTGTTGAAAAAGTGTGAGCAGAATCAGGCACTTAAGTTTCAGACTGTTTCCATGTACATTAATATATAAACAAGCAAAAAACAAAGACCAGAGCTGATGTTTTCTTACCACTATCTTGAGCACAGAGCTGAAGATCTTGGTGTCCTCTGTTACGCCACCTATGTAGAGAATCCTGGAGAAGACGGGAGGGTGGTCATTCTCATCCTGCACGTCAATGAACACCTTGGCTGTGTTAGCTGCAAAAAGCAAACCAGAATGCATTCAAGTCCTGTGGAAGCCATTCACTTCACCAATACAGAGCCATACCTATAAGGATATCTATCTTCATGTGAAAGAAAAAACACACAGCATTTCTCTCCAGTCTTACTTTAAAGTACCTATTCAATCATCTGATCCAATATTTGCTGCACCCTCCCTCACAAAATAAGAATTGGGACACACAAGCCCAAAAACTTTGTATCACCATGGCCACTAGCTGTTGAATAAACACATCTCTGAAGTCATCCGAAATGGCGTTGATCAAATGTTGCATAATTTAGCCTCAAGACTGACATCAATATAATTTTTTCATGGTCATCAGCTTGTCCACAACTTCAAAAGAGAGCTTGAAATCATTTTCCAGAATATTTTGCAAGTCATCAGTGAAAAACATCACAGTATGTTCCAAATAGGATCCCTTTGGCTAGCCATCACTAGTTTTAAATAAAGTAGTACTTGTGTAGTTGTTTATCATATGAGGACAACCAATTTTGAAATCGATTTTTATTTATTTTGAAACTGAGAACTCGGATTCACCAAGCCTATGAAATCTGACTGGATATAGTTTATATTCACTGCAAACAGAAGCTTTTTTGCATGGTTTCATTTTGACCAAACTTGGACTGAGTGAGATTAAGAAAACCTCTCTTCATTTAGTAATAATTTAAAGCTGCACTGCAATAATTGAAGTGTATTTGTAACTGCATGCTGCTAGAAAGAGTCCTAACTCAACTATTTCTAATGAAACAGCGTGAGAAGCTATTCTGGTGAAGCTGGCAACTTTGAGTCAATAATGAGGAGGTTAATTTTGTTTTGATAATGGCAAATATTTTGAATCGAGAAAAAATAGGTTGTTGACTTCTCTCTCAATGCCCCTGATAAGTAGATCAGAAAAACAACTGAACCAGTTTTCATTCTGTTTACCAACCAATTAGCGATAATACTCAGACTCTGTGTGAAATATGGCTTGGTGAAAAAATAAAAATGATGAAGTCTTGTCTTCTAAGCCATTATTTTAAAGTGTGGTCTACATCGCATCATTTATTGTTTATTTCCCACATAACTTGGTGCACAACAATATCATCAATAAAAAGGCTCTGAAAGTTAACAGGCAAGCAATTTGCACATTATTGGGAATAGGAATGTGAAGGGCATCCAATAATCAAGCAGCAAGAATTTCCCTGGAGTTAGAGGAAACACTGTGAGAAAGAAACAGGGAAAGAAGAAGACATTTTGGTATTTTAAATGTAACTTTTTTGGTTTTTGCCTTTCGTTTACACTGAAAAGCCTTAGAGCTCAATTCTGATTTGTTGTACAGATCAGATTTTTTTTTGTTGTTGCTGTAAGCAGATGATAATGATGTTGAGGAGAAAAAGAGCCACAGTTTTATTATGGCATTTTGTGTGGATGCAAAGCTGAAACAAACACAGACCGGTTATGATTCAACCCCTCAAGTTTTGTTTCTAAGCGTTACCCCAAATGACTCAAGCCAGCACAGGATTGTGGTGAATGTCGAACTAGAGTGAAGTAAAAAAGTAGCATGAATTCGGATATGACTATAAAAATCAGACCTATATTTGATTTGGACGACATATGAAAGTGTCCCAAATCAGAATTCATATCAGAAAGATCAGATATTACTGAATCTGATGTTCAAACAGAAATAGAATGTGGGACACTTTTGCCTGCAGTGAGGCTTTTTAAATATTCATCCTGTCTCTTTAAAAGGAAAACACACATATATACGGACTATAAACATTTGTCTCCCTAATTTGTCAGAGTTACACCTACAGTGTGCAATGTACAGCATAAATACATACAGCGCAAAATCCTTCCAACACTGCAGTTTAGGTAAAAAATATGCAGTGTCAAGGACCATTTTTCTTCTGGCAGCATACAAAAATGTAAAGTCATGTGGCATTGTAAGCTAAGGATGCACCAGGGGAATTGGACAAACAAAAACACAGCACATCAAATTACAGGCACAAAAGCCGTAGTGTGAGACACAGAGGGAGGACTCCAGGGGATGGGGAAGAGGTCTGCAGAGTTTCTCTCTTTTTCCTCTCTTTGTAGAGAGCAGCTATATTCCAACCTCAGAGTATCAGGACATAAAATACATAAATATAGACCCCCTCCCCCTTCCTCGTCTCTCACGCTCACATACACTCATAAAGATGCATGAAAGATATGGGTCCATTAAGAGGAAGGATTGCTGCTAAGGCAGAGTAAGCTTGAGTGTGCCTAAGAGTGAATTATTATTTAGAAAAGATGTTTAATTAAATCTTACCCTGGATAATTATGTGTGTGCATGTGCATATGAATGTCAGAGTATGCACTGTGCAAATTGGACATGTGAGTACATATACAATAGTGCACTGATCCTAACTAGGCTAAGAGGAATCTATCTGACAAATCAGGCCATTGAGGTTCTGATCATTTAAACTCAATAAAGACTCATTGAAGATATTCCCTGTCATGGAAAGAAACAGCTTCTCTACACTCTGCCAAAGGAGGATGTTAGCCTGTAGATGCCAGGAAAGCTCTCTTGTTTGTGTGTGAGAGAGTCCTCTACTTTACATCCATCAGATAAGTGAAGTGTGTGTGTGTGTGTGTGTGTGTGTGTGCCTGAGCGTTGTCTACTTGTAATTGCTGTCATTAGTATGTGAGAGACAGAATGTGTGAGAGAAAAAGAGAGGCAGGTAGAGTAGGTAATTGATTATTCATTGTTAGCTCAAATGGATTGAGGTTGAGGTATGAACCCAACTTGTTGTTAACACTTCATCCATCATCTTACAGAGCTTTTGTCAGTAAACTGTCCATAAACAAGCCTAATGATATTCGAGCTGAAGCAAGGCTATCAAGTAGTGCAGTCACTACAAGATCTCAGCATGTTTCAAACAAAGTGTTTCTAGGATAGTCAAATAGTGCCTAAAAATTTATGTAACTTTTTTGTTGTCTAATTAAACAGGTATGAGGAATGTTTTTCAAGCTCTCATCAAGTACTTCCAGCACTTTTTGCGTACATAATTATTGCCTTTGAGGAGCGAAAATATGCACAATTTCCCCATTAGCGCGAGTCATTGTGCCCAGACTTGTGCTGTTCACAGACTGCAGCCAGGCCATCATCGACTGCTGTGTTGTACCATGTGGTTTGTTTCAAGCATACAGAGGCCTTAACAATCGGAACACAGAGGAGGTTGAATTAACTAAATTGTGTTTTGTCACCCACCCTCGTTTTGGAGGTGGTCTGCCTAAGTGAAAACAAATGTGCTATTTCTGATCGTTAGCCCCTTGCAAAACATTTGGACATAACGCTTTAAACCATTTATGACATTGTTGGACTGACACACTGCTTTAAAGAAAGGGATAACATTTTTAAAGTTATTTTTAATAATTACCATGACTGAAAGATGAGAGTCACATGTTCATATTATGTGTTCATAATTTAACTTTTTATAGTGCGAACAGATTCATTCAGAACTACCACCCTGCGGGTTGAACAGATTATTGTCAAATATTAACACATTTATGCATTTAAGCATTAACTAATTCAAAAAATGAATAAAAAATAATTGCTGGTGTTGCAAAACAGTTACTCAAATAATATGACATCTGATCTTAGCCTGAATGTTTAAAAATTGCCATAGTAGAGTAACTAACCCAGGCTAACAAATGATCAACAATGCAGATTTTGAAAAAGCAGCTGCTGAGTTGGACAAGAAAACCACCAAAATACAGTACATCCTTAGAGAAATTAAAATCAGCTTAATGTTGCATGGAGTGTGAAGTGAACAACCAATCACAGGTGTTGCAAACCTGCTACCAGTTATACAAATTAGTAGTGCAGTGAAAAAAGGTAATAGTGCATAAAGCACAGATATACACAAAGTATTCCTTGTTCTGATCCAAATCTGCAGCCTAACAGTGTGGGTAGCACCAACGGATTTCATATGTACGAGGTGTATAATAATACTGTCATGGAAATTTCTGTGGTGTGAGAGAGCATGTTTCTGTGAGTTCCGATTTTTCTTCAGCATGTAATAATCCACCAATACGAACACACATAAAATGAAAAATAGCTCTACATAATTGCAGTAAATGTGAAAATAAAAATGAAAAGATATTTTTATCTGACTGTGATAGAATTACTACAACTGTATTTAATCATAATCTGTCACAGTGGGGGATTATGAATAAATATAAATGCAACACCTGGAATCACATGAAACATAATTTCATCCCTGATTTCCTACAACACAACTCCAAACCTCCACATTCACCCATTTATTGGCTGCTCTTTCTTACTTTTAGAAGGCACACGTAGGTTGGACATGACAACCACCATAGAGTCTGCCTGGACCCGGAGGACGTAGGTGGTCACGTTTTCATAATCCAGAGGTTTAGCTGTGGAGATGACGCCTGTCCTGTTGTTCACCTGAAAATGACCTGGGACCAAACAAATTCAGAGCACATTGAAAATTGTGAAAAGACAAACATTAGGACACAGGGAATAGATGAAGAGTTGCATAGTTATGCCCCCCTTTTTAACTACATACTGTTCTGGTCAGAGATACAGGGCTTGGCTTTGTTTGCACTCTTGGCATATACACCTCTAGGTCAATATTTAAATGCCACTCTGCAGGTATAACAATTGAATTCATTTATACTCTTTCCTAGGATCATTTATCTTTATGGCTAATTAGTCATTAAGTGTAGATTTCAATAGTGCCTTTTTAGCACCGTTCACACATAGAATCTGTAACAGTGTTGAGTTCAGTTATCCAGATGCCAAACATGTGCAGGGTTGGGTCTAATTACTTTGAACTGAAGTCAGTTACTGAATACAAATTACATGGCAGTTTTTGTAGTTAGCAACGTAATCCATTTGATTACTTGGATTACTTCAAAATCAGACAAGAAAAGGGCGCAGCCAAATAAATTGGGTTCCACAAATATTGTTTTTTGTCTTTGTCATCTCAAAACATTTTAAATGCAAATAAAATTTATGTTTCAGTTGGTCAAATCAGACCAAAACGCCAAATGTGATTTATCTTTTTTCTATGTTGAAAGCCATTGTTGTTGTTAGCCATCCACTAGCAATCCCATGATGCCTTGGGTTGAGTTTATTGACCATTCAGAGGCTGTGTGGGCATGAGTGTAGCTGCTCTGATCTCAAACACATTGC